AAGTAAACCCATAAACTGCCAGTGAGTGCTTATTTTCTCAGCTCAGCCATCCAACCCTAACAGAAAAACGAAAAAGCCAATCAGAGACATAACTTTTTGCAAAAGTCAAGATTTGCTATTCTGAGTACTAAAGGGATGCTTAAAACCTTCCAGACGGGGCCTCTTAGAAACAGAGTTGGCAGTGAAGGATGTAGTTGGCAATTGCAGTCTCTTTGTAGTATGGTTGTGACTCCCAGTCAGTTCCGACTCACAGGCTCTACATAGGGTTTCCAAACATCTGCAGGAGCAGAAAGCCTCATCTTTCTCCCACAAAGCAGCTGGTGGGCTCGAACCATGGACCTTGTGGTTCACAGTCCACTACCTATCATACAGAGCCACTGCACTCCCTTCTAGTATCGTTAAGTGCCATCAAGTTGGTTCTGGCAAACAGTGTCCCTGGATAGGGTTTCTAAGGAGTGGCTGGTGAGTTTCAGTGTTGTTTAATAAGTGGTTCAGAACACAATATTGGCAATGTGCTGCCCTTCCCTGAGCAGCAAGCAGCGTCCCTTCCTACTGTTGCCCATTTCCCCCAGGGCAGAAGAGGGATGCACATCCCTACTCCTTTTCATCTGTCTGCCCAAGGCCCAGAATAGACCTGGACAGCCCACCCACCCTCCAGAAAACACCAGCGCAGGCATGTCATGGCATCTGCTTTTCAGTCCCTGTGGATTCCTGCCTGGAAGACACATTCAAACAGTCTATGTATGAGGGCCAGTCCAAACGTAGTTACAAAAATCTTAAAAACATTTTTACACAAAAATATCCAAATGAGAAGCAATTGTTTCTTGAAAATCCTCCATTCCCACCTCTCACCCCGCTGCCGCCCTCAGAATTCTGCACTCTTCAATTTACATGTCAAAACTAGTTTTGGCATCCTCAAGGGACTCAAATCATGTTCCTTTGAAATATTCTTGAGAGTTTGGAGAACAAAAAAAATAAGTCTGAAGGGGCAAGAGAAAGGTTGTACAGTGAATGGGGTTAAGGTTTTCCAATGGAATTCTCAGAGATCCACCTTATAATCCTCAGAAAATGAGATACATTGTCATGATGGAAAAAAACACTTCTCAGCACTTTTCTGGTCTTTATTCTGAGTTTTCAATTTTCTTAAAACTTTATAACAAGCCCCTGTGGCCACCCTGTGGCCTAAGAGAAAATCTATCAAGATTACCTCTTTGTTGTTAGATGCCGTTGAGTTGATGCCTACTTGGTGATCCTACACACAACAGAATGAGACACTGTCTGATCCTGCGTCCTCCTCACAACTGTTGTTACGTTTGAGCCCAATGTTGCTGCCGCTGTCAATCCATCCTGTTGGAGATCTTTGTTTTTGCTGATCCGCTTTTCCAAACATGATATCCTTCTCCAGCAATTGGTTCCTCCTGATAACATGTGCAAAAGTACGAGAGACAAAGTCTCGTCATCCTGGCGTCTAAGGAGCATTCTGGCTGTACTTCTAAGAAGGATTTGTTTGTTCTGGCAGTCCATGGTACATTCAATATTATCAGCACCATAATTCTTCTAAGATCTTCCTTATTTTAAGTCCAACTTTCACATGCATATGAGGCAACTGAAAATACTATGGCTAGGACCAGGTGTACCTTAGTTCTCAAAGTGATAATCTCTGCTCTTGAACATTTTAAGAAGTCTTTTGCAACAGATTTGGCTAATGCAATACATGATTTAATTTCTTGACTGCTACTTCCATAATCACTGATTGTGTATCCAAACAAATTAGTTGATGTCCATCTTTTCTCCATTTATCATGATGCTATTTATTAGATCAGTTGTGAGGATTTTCACTTTATGTTGAAGTGCAATCCATATTGAAGACCGGAGTCTTTGATCTTCATCAATATTTCAAGTCTTCTTTGCTTTCAGCAAGCAAGGTTATGTCATCTACATACTGCAGGTTAATGAGTCTTCTTCCATTCCTGATGCCATATTCTTCTTCATATAATCCAGCTTCTTGGATTACTTGCTCAGTATACAGATTAAATACAGTGAAAGGATACAATCCTGGCATACCCATTTCCTGACTTTAAACCATACAGCATCCCCTTGTTCTAACAACTGCCTCTTGGGTCTATGTACAAGTTTCTCGTGAGCACAATGTCCAGGAATACCCATTCTTCACAACATTACCCAAGTTTGTTGTGATCCACAGTCCCACAATACAACCACTATAACCTTCTGAGCCTTGATTTTAACTGGCCCAGCAGATCCCCTTGGACTGGACCTTGCTCTTGGATCATACTGGTAGTACAAACCTTGACCCCACTTAAGATTTGATCCAAAAAACCATCATTAGCTTCAATCTTGTAAATCTGATAGAAAGATTTTGAGCTAGCTTATCTTTGCAATTACATTTTTCCATGGCACAAAAAGTATCCTTAGTTTGAGGGCACCCTAATGAGACTAAGACAAAATTACTGAGAGAACTTGTCGGCAGTCATCCACTAATTGTAGAGACATGTTTCAGCACATTTTATTTGAAATAAACCCATGCATGTATGAACTGGAACCCCATTAGCAATGCTTCTTAACTTACCCTCATATAGGGCCCCAGGACTCAAGACCCCTGGACAGAAACTACAGAAACTCCCGAGAGCATATGCGAATCAGATAGGCCTCCCCTGCTAATCCCAACATTCAGAAGCATCCTGTTTCCTTAAAGGAAAAACCCAAGAATCAATCTGATAGATACTCTCTAACACATGAACAAAAGTATGTAAAGAAATGATCACTGTCATTCTTAACAGCAAAAAAAAAAAAAAAAAAAAACCCACTGGAAACATTCCAAACCCCCTCCCCACAAGAGAAGGGAGTCCACAAATTACAAAATAACTTCTTTATAATAGTTAGAGAGGTTGCTAACACCAAAGTGATAGCGAAAGAGACAGTAGAGTAGGCATATGGAAACTTCAGACAACCTTCAAGTTGTATTTTTTAATTTACAATATTCACCAATAAAAAGCTTTAATTACAACAAAAGTTCCCTATACAAAATAAGGGTTTTTTTCATTCACAGAAACTCCACCATTGTGTCTTGTCTTGACAAGTCAAAACTCAAAGAACGTGCTTAGCTAAAAGGACTCTACCGATAAAGGGCTATCCAAACAAGATCAATAAAATTATCTGCTTCCTAGGCATGATGAAGAAGACGAATTTAACATTTTGCCTTAAACTGAAGATTCTGAAGAGCACTTAGAAACCTTTATTAATACAGGTCTATCTTGGCTAGCGTGGGCGTAACCAGGCCACCATAATACAGCCAAGGTCGCAGCCGAGCGAGTCACGTGAATTTGTTGGTTTTCCAGTACATATGAAAGCTTTGTTTATACTATACTATCATCCATGAAGTGTCTACAGCAGCCATTATGAAGACGTCTGAATTATTGTGAGAATGATCAAAACGTGGGAGACATGAAGCAAGCACACGCTGTAGGAAACATGGCGTGACAGACTTGCTCAACGCAGGATTGCCACAAACCTTCTTGTCAAAAACTCAAAACATCTCTGATCTGGGGCCCTGAGCTCACGCTTCATTAAGACGCCTCCTCACAGGCCCCAGGTCTCCCCCTGCAGTGTGACAGGAATGAGGGTTTCTAAAGGTTTACCTGTATGTTTTATTGTGGCTGCAAGTCAACAGCCAAACATACGACAGTTCCCATCACAACTCTCTCCACCTACTATTTTATATCCTACAAAATATGGAGACACAAACTTTTCTTAAAAAATAAGGAGGTGTTTTCACGGCTCTACTTCCTAGCAGCGGGAAAAGATTCATGACGGTCACAGCACATAAGGCTCCTGAAAAGAAATGGAGCCAAACGGTCAAAGTCCCGTCAGGTGATGAACATTGTTCCTAGCCATCTGCTTACAGAAAAAAAAAAAGCATTAAAATAACAACAAAAACAAACCCTGTGTAAAACACTGTAACCTTCAAATAAAACTTTATTTGGTGATGAGCCCTAGCTCAGATGGAAAAAGCCTGTTTTTATAAAAAGGAATTGTGGGGTTTTACGTGAGTCTGATGTGCAGAGCTTATATAGTCATGACTCAAAATCATAAAGACCTTCAAACCCAAGTGATTCCAAAGCTGTTCCAACCCAGAATGATTTGTGATCCCCTCTGCTGGTTTCAGAGCCCCTACTTACAGAAAAGCTGCAGCTTCCTCAGGAACTAAAGCACTTGGGGGCAAGTGGGGCAGTGGGAGACCATTTAAATAGGGCAGGCAGGTCTCCCTCAATTCCACTCCATGAGCATATGTCCAGAATGAGAACAAAACAGAACCCATGCCCAGGGGCCACTCCAGGCAAGCATCCCTGTGGCTAATGTGGTTTGAATCATCCCGACAAAACACAGCTACTCTGGACACACACCAAGCCCATGCGCCCTACATCTGCATGTGGCCACTGCAGCTTCAAACCCACCCTTGTTTGTGTAAGATGCAACTCTGCAGTTATTTTGATCTCTTAGGGAAAAAGGATGCCTAGCCAACCAACCAACCCCCTGTTCCTTTAATGCCAATCTGTGACCCTCTCTGACCCAGTAGAGCTTTTTTATTAAAATATCTGAAAGTGTGGCAAATGGTTGCATCTGACGTCAGGTCGAAATTCCAAATGCTGAAAAGGTTCTGTATCCACTGCTCCAGTCTTCTCCCCAGTTGTTACAATTCTGTCACCAAAGGGGGAAAAATTGTGTCAACAAGTTCTTTGAGACCAAGCCATGGCAATAAATAAAAGAGAAATGTCAAAGGCAGAGCCATTTTAAAGGCAACCTCTTCTAGCTGCAAATTTGGGGGCCAGGGAAAATACAAGGGGGCATGTGTGCATGAGCGAGTGACAAGGGTTTGGTCACTCAACCCGATGCCCAGCTCAGGGCTGTAGATCCACCGATGAGACTCTGCTCAAACCCACTTGTTCAGACAGGGAAGAGGAGGAGACACCAAGAATTAGAGCCAGTTTTGAATGCTGCACAGTTGACATTTGTTCTTCATAGCATTAAGGACTTGAATGAGAATCATGGAACTGAATCATGGAACCGGAGGAACACTTGTATTTCTCTTCAGGATTTAAAAAAAATTGTGTCTTGTATCGAAACACTACATTCAGTGTGGGTCAGGCCCAGCAGCATTAGCTAGAACTCAGTTGGGAAGCACACCCAACACTGGGGGGAAACCACAGCGGAGCAGAGCAGCTGGTGGGCAGGCCGAGGCTGCTGGTCACTGGTCTCCAAGCCGGAAGCCCTGGCCCCAGTTGTGTCTCCCACCACCGCCATTCTGATCGGCAGCTCGCCTCATGCTGGCAGGAGGTGTGCCAAATCCTGAGACTCCTCCTCTTCTGCTGGGCAGCCAGCGGTACCTAGAACAGAGAGAGGAAAAGAGGAGAGCAGTCATTCCCGCAGGCTGATTACCATTCAGCGTGTCTCCCCTAGCTGCCAACCACACCAACGGACATCAGTCTGTGGGCAGCTGCAGACCAAGGGCAACGGCGTACTTAATGACGGCAGAAGGAGCGCCCGTACCCCATGTTCCTTAAACTCAGTACGCTTCCAGCTCAATTCGCAATGAAATCTTTTATTTAATGATAAAAGGAATTCATGCAAAATAACACAGAAACAAAAATACTACACTCACAAACTCTATGACCAAACCAACCACTGACAGAACTTTGATACATTTACACATGGATTAAAATGGATCAAAGGACACAAAATCACTTTCAAAGTTCAAAACCACAGGCTGTGTGTGGGTGGGCACTCAGCACAACGTTTGTCCTCTTCGAGGCCCACACACAGGGGTTTGCAGTGTGTTTTTTTAGGTTTATTCATCATCTGCCCTCAAACTGCACTTTCCCCCTTACAAATGGGAAAGCTCAGGGCCAGAAAAGTTAGATGATTTTCCACCTTACAAAGGAAGCTATAATAGTCATTGAAGCACTAAGAAAAAGCTAAACCCAGGTCAACACTATCAACTGCCACCCTAACGGTTGACAGTTCAAACCCACTCAGCGGGAGTATGGAAGACAGGCTTGAAAAGCTGTTTCTGTAGTATGGTGATGGTGTACGTGTACCGTGGAGTCGGTTCCAACTCATAGTGACTCTGTATAAGGTTTCCAAGACCGTAAATCTTTATGGAAGCAGAAAGCCTCCTTTTTCCAGCAGGGTGGTTGGTAGATTTGAACTGCTGACCTTACAGTTAGAAGGTAAAAGCGTAACACAACCAGAACTCCCTCCACTATGATTACAGCCAAGTTAACCATATGGAATAGTTCTAAAGTGACGGAGTCAGGACTCAAACCCACACTACTTACTACACTACCTGTCCCATAATTTAAATGACACGGAGCTGACCTCTCAAGAGAGCAGAGCGTGACTGAAGTCACCTATTCTTAGCAGCCCAGATAACTTCAGGCTCCATCTCCCCAAAACACAACTCTTTTAGATTAAATGAACAGCAACGTTCAGAAAAAAAAGATGCACACTGACTTTAAAAATGGGCTGTGGAGTACAGACAAACCTAAGAATTCTACACCTGACAGCTTCCTAGAAAACAAATGCCACTCACACATAGACTCAAAAGGCACTGCCAAGCATTGCTTTCTCCAATCACCATGCAGTAAAACCTTCTTCCAGAACATGCAATAAAACAGAACACTCTGAACATTTTGAGCTGTCTTGTTTTGCTATTTACTATACGACAATATGGAAACCGTCTCCATTTCTTAAACAGAGACTGAAATTAAATGCAAGTAATTAGGAGAAGAAGGCACCCAATTAGACACAATCAACAAAAATTTATGGTAATTTCTAAGCAGTTACTGCTGTAGGAGACGCTCCATTTCGTCATCTGATCTTTATGCAAAATGGAACAGGAGGGCTCCCACCAGCAGAGCAGGCTCAAGGGGCTGACAAGCTCCACACTCGGAGCGGTTAGTGGGGCACGGGCACGGAAAACAATCCCTTAGTCAGGGCTGGTCACTCTTGGCTGCCTCCCAAGACGCCATGGTTTTTTGTTTTAAAAACCCTGATCAGAAATCCAAACCTGCTGCTAAAGCAGATTTGTTTTTGCTGTTGTTAAATGCTGTTCAGTCGGTTCCAACTCACAGCGACCCTGGATAGGGTTTCCGAGGAGCAGCTGATATGTTTAAACTGCCAACTCTGCAGTTTAAACTGACCTTGCAATCCAGTGCTTATCCTACAGTACCACACCAGGACTCCATAAAGCAGACTGGTGGTTTGTTTTTCTAGCCTAAAGGCAACCCAAGGTTCACGAGACAGACAATTTTCTTTTATGATTTTAAAGAAGGAATACTTCTCTGCTTATACACTATTATTTCACAATAAAACAAAAATCTTTCAAAACCTCCCTGATCTATAAGAGGTGGGGGTGAGGTGGGGTCCCAGAAGTCTGATTGTTTTGACCGCTCCCACTGACTCCTTAGAAGACTGACTAAACTGCAAACATGAATCAGGGCAACATGTGGATGGTTGGTTTGTTTTTAAGCTCCTGAATGTACGCTGTGACTGTATATCACCGGCATGCAACTCCACGCGATCGGCAAGCTGGCTGTGACGCCCACATGGAGATTTCACTGGTCCCTTTAACGTCCTGACTTTGCTGACGGGCATCAGACCATGTACGTGTGTCCCCATCTGCATGTGCGGGCACCTCTCCTCCGTCTATGAGACTCCTGGCCAGCCCCGACTTTAGGACCAGGGCTGTGGGCTCCACTTCCGGAGTCTAGGCCACTGTGCTCTCAACAGCACGAGGGCGCTCCAAGAGGTGCCTGGGAAAATTCCTTTACCTTTTCATTCCATTTTTCCAAGAACTTTATGAGCAGCCCACCTTGTGCACTTTCCTCAGACGGTCCTGAGGCAAGCATTCTCATCCCCACAACTTAACAGATTTGCAAATGAAGGCAGAGGTTTTATTTGGCAACTCTGCCAGCATCAAAACTAGTGAGAGCAATGGGGTAAAAGCAGTGACTAGCCCGAGGCAGGGATACAGAGAACACACTTCCAGGGACCCAGACTACAACACCTCTCATTCTGACTCTGAAATCCCTACCAATGGTCTACAGCCAGGCTTCAGAGATACTGTGGGTTTGGTTCCAGGCGATGGCGATCAAGCAAACATAGCATAAAGTGAGCCCCACAATCGTCTGGCTTCACATCCTAAGTAAATGTTAAGTTTACATTACAACTGTAGTCATCAAAGGAGCCCATGGTACTGGTTAGGGTTAGGCTGCTAACTACATGGTTGGTAGTTCAAACCCACCAGCCACTCTGGGAAGGAAAATGTGGCTATCTGTTCCTACAGCAATTTAGTCTTGGAACCCTAACATAGGGTTGCTCTGAGTCAGAATCGAATCAATGGCGAGGGGTTTTGTGGTTTGGGGTGGCCTACTGAGTGTGTAACACAATCATGAAACATCGGGAATGCGTGATGATTATCAAAATGTGACAGAGACACGAAGTGAGCAGAACATTCGGACAGCTGTGGTGCACGTCCCAGGGGAAGTAGCTGGACAAGGCCACTCTCACTGCTCGGGGCGCACATGGCCGCCCTGCAAAGTGAATGCTGAACACTAGCTTCACTCTTCAACTTTGTTCATAAAAGAGAAAATCCACTTTGGATTTAGCAAAAACAGGTACTAATGCAGGACTGGCGTCCTGGTGAGGCTCTGTAGGATAAGCACTCAACTACAAGGTCAGTGGTTCAAACTCACCAGCTGCTCCTCGAAAACACTATACAGGGTCACCAGGAGTCAGAACCACCTCAACAGCACTTAACAACAACATTGGTTTTTCATAAAAGCAAAATGGAGGAAAGTGAACTTTTTCAAAGGCAGGGGATGCCTGCAAATCCTACACTGCATGGAGCACCTAATAAAGCACATCAGAGCACATACAGTAAAATAATTTTTAAACAAGAGGAAAAAAAAACTGCTTACAAAAACTGAGGAGTGGATAGGAAGTTCCTTCCTCCCAAGTCCATCGGGTATCTGAACATTAAGAAGAAGTAAAGATGTCCAACAAGATTTCCAATGAGTTCATTGATGACCCTGCAAACAGAGAGCACCGTGTGAGTTAAGAGACACTCCTGCAGTGAACTGAGATGCAGCGAGTTCTCCTGAGTGGTAAAGGATGAGGGTCTTCATGGCGGCCAGGGCATGTCTGTGGGAGCCTTCGATAGCTCCACAAGACCTCTTGTGGGGTGAGGGCAAATGCCTTCGGAGGGAGCAGGGAAGGCAGTCCTGCTCAACACGAGAGGCCTGTGCTCTTCATGGCCAGCAACTTCTCTGACAAGTCTTTCAAACCCCGGCCATGTCCTAAATTGTTTTTGCTACTTCCTGTAAAGCAAGCTCATGAATGCTTTCAGACAGCAACACTGAATGTGAACACAGGCAAGCACGTATGAAAGCTAGCGATGGAGAAGCAAGAAAAGACAGGCAACAAAGGCTGCTCCTCCAGCCCTGGAGCCACAAAGCACTCCCTCAGCCTCTTGTAAGCTTGGCTGTGGACACCAGAGGCCACTCGGAGAGCTGACTGCCACCCCCCAATCCTAAAATAGACAACAGACCATCTTCAGTGTTCCCAGGGCTTCCGCTGAGGACAGACACCTCAAGGTTTCAAACACCCACTTTTTGAAACTGGTTAAACTCGAGGTTTCAAACACCACTGAAAACTAAGTGTTCAGTGTCTTCGCCTGCAGTCTGATTCCTGTCACAGCTCAGTCGGCATCGGTCAGGGGAGGAGAGCCAGCTTACACACGAGAGTCTGAGTCTGTTCTCGTAAGTCCTTCATCTCTTCCGCTGCTCCATATTCACAAGAGCTTCAGACCACCCAGAGCAAGTATCTCAGACATGTGAAGAACTACTACTATTAAAATGTGGAAAATATTTCACCAAATAACAATGGGAATTGCTAGAACAGTGGTATCGCAACACCCTCCATTTAAGATTCGGGCGGATGCATGAAAGGGTTTTCCTAACTCTAGACTGGTAATTTGACCCCTCTTGGTCAAAATGTTTGTACTGTTACACAACTTAAAAAACTACACCCCAACTGAGAATCTGCATGGCTGTGATTAATAACAGTTTAGGGGAGTCAACTTCGACAAGAATTAGGTCTATGTTTGCTTAATCTGGACAGTGAATCCAGAAACAAATGTTTAGTCAAAACCACAAGCATGGAATCACGTTGTGTCAATAAACCAACAAAATACCAACCAGTCAGTGCTAAGTGTGCTTAAAGCTCTGCAATTTAATTAACTGTATCAAGTTGGAATGATTTTAAAAGCCTAAGATTCCAATGCATCAATGCTGAGATTCTTACAAGTTTTATAAAGGTTAGAGAGAGAGTATAAAGATTAATGCAAGTTTTCCAATAAGTTTTAAATTAAATAAATCTACTACTTACGAGCCTCCGATGATATAATTGAATCCAAGGATAACCCAGGGTAAATAACAGGCCTAGGGAAAAACACAGACAAACATGAACGGCCCCAACTAAGAAGCATACAACTGCTAGCGAGTGCGATGGGTCCGTGACTACCGACAACTTTAGGTACATTCTTTGGAAGATAAATGCAAAATATCTCAGCTCAGATCGATTTAGTGTCATTCCCACTGTACTTAAAACCCATCTCAAATTATACTTATTTATCTGTAACTGGAGGGGCAGACAACTGTGCCCAGAGCTCAGACGCAATACATACCTTGTTGAATTAATTAAGTTAATGAAGAACTTCAGAGACAGTTTTAAATGACCAGTGAGAGAATCATGCTGTTGTTGTTGTGAGGTGCCATCAAGTCAGTCCCGACTCACAGAGACCCTAGGCACAACTGGACAAAACACTGCCTGGTCCTCTGCCAGCCTCACAAGTGTTATTACACTTGAGCCCACTGCTGCTGTCACTGTGCCAATCCATCTCATTGGAGGTCTACCTTTTTCTCACTGATCCTCCATCTTCTCCAGGGACTGGTCCCTCCTGATCACATGTCCAAAGGAGGCGAGATGAAGTGTCACCAGCTGTGCCTCTAAGGAGCATTCTGACTGCATTTTTTCCAACACAAATTTGTTTGTTTTCCTGGCAGTCCATACTTTACAACTACTGGGACTTCCTCTTTGTTTCCAATGATCGCATTCCAATCACCAGTAACTATCAATACATCTTGATTGCATGTTTGATTAATTTCAACCAAGAAGTTGGTAGAACGCTTTCATTTCATCATCACTGGCTTTTAGTGTTTGGTGTGTAAATCTGAATAGTGGTCTTAACTGGTCTTCCTGGTAGGTGGATGGATATTATCCCATCACACAGCATAGTAATTCATGATAAATGTTGAAATGTGCTTTCTGATGAATGGGACGCCATTCCTCTTCAATCTGTCTTTCCTGACACAGTATACCATGTGACTGTCAGACTTAAGATGGTCAACATCACTCCATTTCAGCTCTCCAACACCTAGGATATGGATGTGTATGTGTTCCATTTCATTTCTGAAAAGTTCAATTTTCCTAGACTTATACTTCGTATATTGTGTTCTGATTATTAATGGATGTTCACAGTTATTTTTCCTCATTTTGAGTTGTGTCCCTTTAGTAAATGAATGTCCTGAAAGCCGTACTGCATCCATGTCATCAAGGTCAACTCTTTGCAGAAGCAGTTCTTCCCCAGCTGTATTCTGAGTGCCTTCCAACCGGAGGGTCTCATCTTCCGGCACTGGATCTGATACTATTCTGGTCGTCTTCATAATACTTCAGTATTCAAGATCTGACAATATTCTGGTCTACTTCATAATACTTCAGTATTCAGTATTCTGGTGCTAACCGTGTTCCACTGCTATCTACAAGGTTTTCAGCGGCTAAGCATTCAGAAACCATCCAACTCTCCTTTTTCCTCGTCACTCTTCGTCTGGAAGTCAGCTGAAGCCTGCCCACCATGGGTGACCCTGCTGATATTTAAAAGGCTGGTGGCATAGTTTCCAACATCATAGCCCCAAGCAGCCACCACAGTTGTACCACACACTGACAGACGAGTGGTGGAAAGGGTCACCTAAGACTTCAGAAACCAGCAAATGGTTATACATGAGCTAGAGACATTCCTCTTCTCAGGTTCCTCTTTCACACATATCACCAACTACTTTGGATTTCTAGCTGATTACACATTGAGATCTTCAATTAATGTATATGATTACACATTGAACTCTTCAACTAATATATATGGGTTCCCAAAATATAACAGATCTCCAGATGACTTCAATACTTGAGCCCCTTACCCAACCAACTCAAGACACCATGCTCATACCAAGACCTAAAAGAGTTGCAAAGAATTTCACAAACAAGTACAGAAAGGGTTACACACAAATCAGTTTAAAACGAACTGTGTTAAACACTGTTTAACACACAGCATTGCAAAAGCCCAAAGGCAAAGCTAATTCCAGGCAAAAGATTCAGGAAATATGAAGGGGCTTCAAAAAGTTCATGGAAAAATGTCATGATCTTTTCATTTTATTTTTCCATGTATGTTCAATCCCAGCTCAAATTCAGAACAGGTAGGATTTACATGAAGACAAGAATCAAAACAATATTGCAGGTAGGAGAGTATGAAGAAAAGTTCAAAGGAAAAGTCTGAACGCAAAAACAGTGATTTTTGCTTAAAGTATAAAGTACTTAATAGGGAGAAATAGATACAGATTTTGAAAGAGGGTGTTTTGCCTAAGTATCTTTCCTCCTCTCCTCCTCCCACAAGATCACTCAGGGGCACAAACCGCAGGGGGGATACCGAAGATGTGGTGAAGCAACAGGCAGCAAACACTCCACAAGTACAGCTGGGACTGAGGAAGCGGCCGGCCTAAGGTACACTGCTCAGCAGTGACCTCTCCTGGGCGAGTTGGAAAGTGCATCTCTGATAAATAAAAAGGGGTATTTTTCAAGGAGGGCAAAGTACCTTAAATCGTGTTCCAAACCAAAAGGACACAATCATGTCTCTGTTCAGCTGGGCCCAGACGTAAAGGACAGACATGATGAGAGGAATCATCAGTAACTGCAAAAGAAGTCAAGATGTAAAGACCAGGCTCTGGAGGAGATGGTAGCACCAAGAGTCTTCCTCACCAATAAAGCTTCTCATGTAGCTAACCAAAAATCAAAATCAAGTTCACTCATCAGAATGATCCTTCAGTTTAACCAATTACACAATGAATGCTACAGAATCCTGGAATAAACACGATTTATTTTAAATGGATTCAGAAATATCAGAAAACAAGCTTTATGACTTGGGGCGGGGGGGAGGAGGCAACCAAAGCTTTACTTATACTTTAATCTCAATTTAAAAAAAAAAAACTTGAACCCATTTGTAGAAAATGCTGGATAAATCATTATTCTCAATATTCAAACATAATAAAGAAGCCAGACATGAAAGGGAACCCACTAAGTGGTTTAGATTACTCCAAGGCTAAGCTTTCTCACAGAAGATCTTCAAAATAAAACCGTTCTACCTTTTATTCTTTCGAAACACCTTCTCCCCACTGCCGCTGAATCCATTCCATTCCTAGTCGGTAACCCAGCAGGGCAGCGTGAACTGCTCCATAGGGTTTCCAAGACTGTAGGTCTTTAGAGGACAGAAAGCCTCGCCTTTTTCCCTTGGGAGTGGCTGGTGGGGTTGGGGGGGGGGTGGGGATGTTTAAATCACCAACCTGTGGTTAGTGGCCCAATGCTTAACCCACTATACCATCAGGGCTCCTTAAAATTACCTTAATATCTTAGCTGATGCAATTGACTTGGCCAAGCCCCCTAACAGTACATGTGAAACCTCTAAAGGGCAAACAAGACAGTTTCCAGGGACACTCACCTGCATATCCATTGCTAAACCAGTAATCTTGGTTTGTGAAGTTAAAGATCATATACAAAGCATTCTGTAGACCTAGTGACTACTTTCTTCCACTTAGCAGTTCGTTTCATTCCGTGTTCTGAAGGAAGACCTTTTCTACACTTCAAGTAGCTTCAGACTTCCAAGAACTCAGTGGTCTCCAGATTCAGCACTGTGGGTTTTCTATTGGACTGGACTCCGAGGGAATGGGGGAAATTAACCACTTAGGCTATTAGGGCCCCTCCCACCCCCTTTACCTTCCTTTGCCACAGCCGTTTTATTCAGCATCTTGTTCCAGCAGAGGATGGGAGAGGCCACTGACCTCCGAAACAAACCATGATCCTGCTCACACACAGGGCTTCACAGCTTTTCTCCTTCCCTTAATGGAGGAAAAAGGGCATCCAACATGCCCCATTTCCTGGCTCCTGGCCAGGTGTAAAAGGAAGCTGAGCCCAAGGCAATTCAAGGTTCCCCAACTCTGCTCCTGGAATTGGGGGAGTCACCACTGGAAAGCTGCTGACACTGTGGCTGATGGAACGCAGTAGGGGTCTTTACAGGACCGGGGACTACCATCTATGGGACCAAGACAAGAGCAGCCATGGGGTCAGGAGAGGACGCTAGCTATGAATTCACTCATGCTGAGGCACCCAGGTTTCAAAACCTGTCTCATACACAGTATGACGTCTCTTCATGCGACAGTCAACACACTGCCCCACGTGAGAACACAGAACTGGGAGTAAGGAGAGGGAACACGAACAAAATTCAACCAAATGGAGGGAAATCCCACAAAGGGATTGCAGGTATCATTCCACATCACTTGACTCCCCCTATAGCTTTTGTGAAGAACTTGAATTACCCTAATTATTAACTGCTGTAAGCAAAAGAAGCGGGCCTGTCATTGGAAACACTTTACAGAATACAATTTCCTCACACAACCCACTGAAGGATACCACGATGCAAATCCAGTTAAAGAGGACCATGAATAAATAGTCCGCTGGCCTCCCATCAAAAGCTCCTGAAAACAAAAATAAGCCAGAGGTCAGACTTGCAGAACAAAGTGACTTCTATGGAAAGAAACACTTAAAAAAAAGGAGATAAAGGTAAACTAAGAATAGTTTTTAAATCACGCCTCCCAAGTAAAAGTTCAAGTTCTTGACTATCTAAACCCTGTTAACAAAGTCCTGAACTGAAGTCGCTGTGGAGGGTCCACTAGGCTCTCCTAACTGAATTCCAGCAAGGAGCATACTCTGAGGACAGGCAATGCCAGCTACGAGACAACCGACCCCTACTCCCTCCCCGCCCCACCCCCCCAAGTCCTCAAGGGCCTCGCGGGCCACGCACCTCTCCTTCAAGGTTCTCAGCGTGGCCTGATGACACAGGTAATAGTCCCCCTCACCTTCTGTCAGGAGAACCAGGTCAGTTTTGCTGGCCTCTGTGTCTCCTCCAGCATGGCTGTGCATGGGAGGTACTGCAGAACAGCATCATCACGAATGAACACACACAACCCTCAGTCCCTCCCTCACTAGGTAGACAGGCACTGTGAGGACTCGGTCTCTGTCTTCCAGGAGTTGACATTCGAGCAAGGGAGAATGGCTAGGGGTAGGTGGACAGGAGGACAGTCCCACCTTCCCAGGGACTGACTCCTTAGACCACATCTGTGAAGTAGGGCGGAGGGACCTATGATCTTTTTACAGATGGCAAATGACATTACGTGACCAAAATCACGTGGTTTGTTGGGAGCAGCGTCGAGTTTAATGACTAGGCTTGCCCTTATGAATGTGCAGAAATTCTACAATAGTCCAGCTTTCCCTCCTAAGGATGAGGCCTGATGCAGTAAGACGAGCCGCACAGGGAAACTGAAATGACTAACCGCAAGGTTGGTGGCGGTGGTTACATGCCGTCGAGTTGGTTCCACTCACAGCAACCCTGTATAGGATTTCGGAGGCTATAAATCTTTACAGGAACAGAAAGCCTCATCTTTCTCTCACACAGTAACTGATAGATTCGAACCACTGACTCTGACTTTGCGGTTAACAGCTTAGCTCATAATCCACTAAGCTACCAGAGTTCCTTCACTGCAACGCTGGCGTAGCTCAGAAAGCTACTATTCTCTCCTCTACACTCCATTCATGACATGTTAGTGAATTAAAATAAAAAATAAAAAAGCTCTAAGAAATGTCATAATGACAGGCAGAAATTGATCTAACAGTAAATAGAAGTCTCTATTTACTTCAACAGAAGTCTCTATTTCCGCCTTGTTACCCCAAAGGCACACTCTCCGTGTTGAGATGTTGTTGTATGCCATCAAGCAGGTTCTAACTCATAGCGACCTTGCAGAGGGTTTCCAAGGGTGGCTGATGGATTTGAACTGTGGACCTTATAATTAGCATAGTGCTCATCTTAAAGTGGCACAGTGTTTAAGGATGCTTAATTCCAGGGGATCCCCAAGTCTAACAAAATGTCTGACTTTTAATGATGGTTATACCGCTTCTCATGTGGCTTAGCTTTGTGATTTTTAAAGAGTCTTTAGAGCCAGGGTACTTAAAACTACTGTAGTCACAGAAACTACAGCACTGTATTGTTTGGCAGGTTTGAGACTGGGAAGTTATGAATGAACTGATTTCAAACTGCATTCTTCCAGTTCAGATCAGAAAATGTCACATTGTGAGTCAACAGTGCTACAGACTCAGCCATCGGCCAGGAAGGGAAATATGGAGGTGGTACACGTTTTTAAATGTCAAAATGTTATACTGAAGCTGTGTGCTGGAAAAACCCCAAAACACCAAACTCAATGCCACTGAGTCAATTCCAATTTAAATCAGTGCAAGGTCAGTTGGAACCACATGGTTGGTGGTTCAAACTCACCAGCTGCTCCTCGGAAACTCTATACAGATGGCATACAACAACAACACAACACTGTGGTAGAGTATGCCCTTGAAGCACTTAACAACAACAACATAGTGCAGAGGAGAACTGCTCCTTAGGGTTTCTGAGACTGTAAATCTTTATGGGAACAGAAAGCCTTCTCTTTCTCTCACAGAGCAGCAGCTAGCTGAGTCTGAACCATTGGCAACATTGCAGTTAGCAGCCCAGTGCCTAACCCACTGTGCCACCAGGGCTCCTGTGTGGTGGACAGCAGCTCGGGAATCAGAAGGCCAGGGTTCCAATTCCAGCAGAGTGATTTCAGGCAGTTTTAGGACATTTGGGGCATGTCACCATACCATGTCTCCGTACCATTGTTTTCTTGTTTGTGAAATAAATAAATAAAAGGGCTATAATGAATGACCTCCACTCTACCCAGAACAGTACCATTCAAAAGAGCCTTAAAGTGGAAACAAGGCAACTGCCTATCAACTAAGATGTGGACAAGCCATACTCTCGGATTCCTCGTATAGGAAATGTCCAGAAGAGGTCAATCTATCAAGGATGAAAGTAGATCCGTGCTTGCCGAAGGCTGCAAGAAAGGAAATGAGGCGTGACCACTAATGGGTCCGTACAGGGTTTCTTTCTGCAGTGACAAAAATGTTCTGGAATTGACTGTGGCAATGGGTGCACAACGCTGAAAACACACCTAACCACTGAGTGGTCGACTTTAAATGGGTGCAGTGCACGACATGTGAATTGCTGTACCTCAAGAAAACTTCTTAACTCAAAATATTAAAAAGACCAGGCTTACTGGACAGAAAGAAACTGCGAGACTATGGCCCTCAGTCACCTTTAGATCTGGAATGTAACTCACCCTCGTGGCTCAATGTTCAGCCAAGCAGTGAACGTGTATGTTAGAGGGGACGACAGCACTAGTGAGGTATGCACACCACAGAACAGGCAAACATTTAAATCAAAAGGGCGGCATTTACATAAGGACACATTCAGAAGGGTGGAAAGAAAGAGGAATGAAACTAAGAATCCCAGGGAGGCAGTGGGATAGGTAAGGCTAAAAGAGGGGATTGCAATCAGTGAAATGGAATGAAGTATATGATTAGCTGAACGTTAAACTGGTGATGTGCTCTGTAAACCTCGTTCAATTTACAATATAAAATTTAAAAATATATATATTTTTAAAGAAAATCTCCACCACTTCAAAATGCTATGTGGGGAGCCAGCTGCTTCCGGTGGAGCGGAGAATCAGAATCGTCCCCATGTATGCATAGAAACAACTGTTCCAAACCAAGTAAGTCTTACGTTCCACAGTTTCTTTGAGTTTTAATGATTTTTAACGGTTTTTGGTGTCAGAAGCAAGACACAAAGAGAATTATCAAATGCCCCATTTTTGGTAAGAGATCAAATACAGATCAAATATCAAAACCTACATACAGCAAAGAGGAGACGCTAAAGACAGAACCAAAATAGCAAGCCTCACAAAAAGTTACCCCATAAAACTTAGAGTGGTACCTGGCCAACACTTACTTCATCAAAGATCCTAATCAAATCGTGATTAAGAGGTGAGGGTAGCAGGAGATGTCAAAGAGACATCTTGCTTTCATTTTAAGACTTCTTCTTTCCCACAAAACCAAATTTTTGCTGCCAGGCCAGAGACCATCTAGTGCTCTAATTAATATAAGCTGATCTTAGTAAAAGCAGGGAAAGGCAGGTTCAATCGATCATGTTAAAATTAGCCAATGGCTGATCTAGTCTTCTCCCTCCTCTTCTAGAAGCCTCATTGTAACTACCTATTCTGAGCCATGTACTGGTTTCTGGAATCCGAATGGTCTTCCCATATGCACACAGAATAACGGCTCTGAATAAACCTTGTGTTCAAGAAAAAAAAAAAAGTTCTGTGGATGGGAAGTAAGGAACGAGGGGCACCTTTTAAGAATGAGAGCAAATGCAAGGGAGCATCCTACAGAGCACTAAGTGGTAAGCAGGTAGGAGATATGATTACATCACCTCAGAGGTAGCTAGAGAAGGACAAATGGGTTCAAGAAACTTAAGTAACCAAGAGAAGACCCTATGCACAAGAGAATGAAACAAAGTTACTGTAATCTAGGTATTCAAAATAAGGATTGAATTATTTGTGGATAGACTCATGTCTAGCATTTGTTTCAAATAATCACGGTTAGTGAGACAGAAAGAGAAAGAAAATAAAGCTGGCTGGGAAGGTAAGTTTCTGGCCCATGTTCACACACTGCAACACAGGCAAACCTTGAAAACATGCTCACTGAAAGAAGACAGCCACTCTAAAGGGTCCACTGCATGTGTAGAGTGTGATTCCGTTTATGTGAAATGTCTAGAATAGGAAAATCCGTAGAGACAAAACAGAAGTAGATGAGAGGTTGTCGGGGAAGGCACAGGGTTTCTTTCAGCAGTGACGACAGCGGTGATTATACAACATTGTGACTGTACCTAGTGCCACCAAAACACACACTTTAGAAGGGTTAAAGTGGTCACTTTGAGGGTACATGAATTTTAACTCAACAAAGCAAAAGGAAAGAAGTGTGTTCTGAATCTTTGACTGTATTCTGGTGTATGTTTGAAATTTTTCCATAGTAATTAAAAAAAAAAAAAAATGGTTCTGCATCACCCATACTTAACCTGGTGGTGTAGTGAGTTAGGCTGCAAGAGCAGCAGTTCGAATCCACCAGCCACTCCATGGGAGAAAGATGAGGCAGACTTTCTGATCCTGTGAAGATTTACAGTCTCAGAAATCCTACAAAGAGCCGCTATAAGTCAGAACCGACTCAATGGCACTTAACAACAATGACCTGCCTTTAATACTGATATTAAAAAGTACTCCAACAACTTAACCCTCAATTAGATTATACTAGAGGGGTTGAGGAGTCCTGGTGTGGTGGCGCTGTGGGTCAATGAGCCAGACCGCAAAGCCAGTTGAACTACAAGGTCAGTGGTTCAACCTCACCAGCTGCTCCTCGGAAACCGTGTACAGGGTCACCATGGGTCGGAACCGACTCGCTGGCACTCAACAACACACTTTGTAAACATACAATGATTTTTTTTCCTTCTTAAAATGCACCTAGGAGCAAATGTCAGTTTAAGGAAAAATGTTATTTGACACCAAATGTTCATCCTTCTACTTCCCTGCAGTTATGAGACCGACTCCCAGTTGGCACACATAAGAACCCTGACAGAGGTGGTTCCCAATTCTCTGACTGACTCCCAGTTGGCACACATACAAGCCCTGACAGAGGTGCCTCCCAATTTTCTGACCAACTGACTCCCAGTTCTCACACATATGAGCCCTGACAGAGGTGGTTTCCAGGTCTCTATTCTGCACTAACAATCCACGGGTTTAGGAAGTCTCCGAAGTCAGTCCACTGACTCATTTAGGCTTAACAGTAGGGTTCTTTTTCACACTTTAATACAGCAATATTGATTTAATGCTTCTTTATATAAGCAACTATGAACGGCAGATAACGTATTGTTGAAAAACACTAGTACTGTATGCTCACCGTGCAATATTCAACCACTCAATATCAAAGGACAACACTTACCTAAGGATAAAGTTCAGAAGGGATGGGAAGGAAGGAGGGTGCAATGGAAAAGAAGCAGCTCAAGGAAGGGGAATAACTATTGTTACATGGAAGGGATTATAATCACTGAGAAGAAATGAAGTGTATGCTCTGTTGAAAGTAAAACTAATCATCGGCCTGTAAACCTTCACCCAACTCACAATAAATTTTTTTTTTTTAAGTATTACTGGAAATAAATTACAATTCAGTAAGAAACATTTACATTTTCTTATAGCTTATCTATAACACTGTGAAAGGGCAGTCATAGCTGATAAACTGCCCTATTTTTAAATTGTGGCAATATATATAGTTTATTACACAGACAGACACAAATCTATGCTTTCAATGCCATAAAGTGGTGGTGGGTAAAGGTTAGGTCAGTTCCAACTCAAAAAGACCCTGTATAAGGTTTCCAAGGAATAGCTGGTGAGTTTGCACTGCCCACTTTGTAGTTAGCAGTCCGGTGCTTTTCCTAGAGAGACACACCAAGACTCCATAAAACAGCATTCTTCAATTCCTATCAATGAGCTATAAATGAGGAGACTTTAAAGAGCTTGTGGAAAAACTCCTTTATCTTTCAATTCCACTTTTCCACAAACTTTTTGAAGCCCCCTCATACAGTGTGTCCCAATTAAAGGATAAGGATTTCCCTGTGACAGAAATGAGACAGATATCAGACTAAGAACACACCACTCAGTCATTAAAACGAGCAGGCTTGCACCTGAGTTTTCACCTGTAACATGACAGCAGTTGAGGTGGCTGAGGATTCAGACCCCAGCAGCCTCAGTGTTTGGGACAGTCCTCACGGCACATGCACCGTCTTTGTGCGGCTTTCTTGTATCATCTCATGGCCTTCAAGTCCTCCAAGTACCGGCCACCCTTCAGCTCTGGGACTGAACTCACCCCCGGGACTCAAGTTTCAGCCAAACAGTAGATAGGCAGGTATACTGGGGGGCAACACACCTAGTAAGGTATGCACACCACAGAATGGTCAACCATTCAAGATCAAAAGGGCAGCATTTTACCTGAGGACAAAAGTCAGAGGGGTGGGGAAAGAAGGGGGAATGAAAACCAAACACAAGGAGGAAGAGGAATGCCTGATGTTCCATGGAGGGAATAGTAATAACGAGATAAAATCAGGTGTAGGATTTGTTGGATGTAAAACAGATGATCTGCCTTGTAATCAATTCCCAATAAAAAGCTTTAGAAAACTAAAAGTTCTCCAAGTAAACACAAACAATACTTCAAAAGCAATTGCAGGTAACATACCTGTTTCGAGTCGTGTAGAATACTGATATAAGAAATATAAATTGACCAAATAGAGAAATCCCGTTCCTGGACCCACAGGGAAATAAAAGGTGGCAGTGACTGGTCTCCAGACCTGTCCAGATCAAAACAAACACACTGGTTAGTTTTACCAAGTCAAGAGGATGCTTTTTTATTATTATTATGCTTTTAGCTTTTATGCTTTTTGCCAAGCATTCCTCCTCAACAGTGAGAGTTACTCAAGAGATACCACAAATATAATTCAAGGACAACAGAAGGACAGCTCCTATTACTTACACTCAGTGTACAAATCTATGGGATCAAATGACTTTAAATAAGCAGCAAAAGATTTCTAAACTAATTGCAGAAAATCAATGCTTCGCAAGTAACATGATTGTTGTTGTTGTTAGGTGCCATCGAGTCGTTACCAACTCATAGCGACCCTATGCACAACAGAATGAAACACTGCCCGGTACTGGGCCAAGCTCACAATTCTTGCCACACTTGAGCCCATTGATGCTGCCATTCTGCCAATCCATCTTGCTAGGGGTCTTCCTCTTTTTCTCTGACCCTCCACCTTACCAAACATATCCTCCTCCAGTGACTAGTCCCTCCTGACAATATGTCCGAAGTATGAGAGATGAAGTTTGGCCATCCTGATCTCCAAGGAACACTCTGGCTGTACTTCTACCAACACGGATCTGTTGGTTCTTTTGGCAGTCCATGGGTACTTTCAATATTCTCCTCCAACACAGTAACTCAAATGCATCAATTCTTCTACGGTCTTCCTTATTCATTGTCCAGCTTTCACATGCATATGAGGCTACTGAAAATACTATGGCTTGGGTCAGGAGTACCTCACTCCTCAAGCTGACATCTTTGCTCTTCAACAATTTACCATTTCAGTGTGTCTTCAATGTAAGTAGAGGTACTACCAGACGGCTGGAATTAAGTGTTTGTCATTAATTTTTGCCCCAGGCTTATAGATAAGTATATGATTAGTCTATACTAAACAGAGCATACAGGTAAGCCTGAGGCAAAAATTAATGACAAACACTTAATTCCAATCATATGGTAATATCTCTACTTACACTGAAGATACACTGAAATGGTAAACCTGTCAAAAAAAAAACAAACCCACATTATACTCTAAAGATATAAGTTGAAATAAGATTCCTGACCCACAATCTCCCAATTCTCTTCCCAGCAAAAACTGTACCTCCTTCCAGAAATCCTGGTTATGTTTGCGCCCTCCCTCTGCATGTCAATTCATACTGTGTTGTTCTATACCTTGTTACGTTCCCTTGACAGTTTTATGGGCTTCATAATATTCCGTTCACATGGGTGTCTAAATTTCATTTAAAACTGTCACAACAATGCTGCATTGAATATTCTTCTATATTCTCTGGATGTGTGAGGATAAATTCTTGTGAGTCACACTGCTCGGTCAGCAGACATGAATGTAGCTTTGGGAGATGCTGTCAAATGCCTAGAAACATGCTTTACCAACTTACACTTCCTCCTAAACGGTAGGTTACTGCCTGTCTCCTTCCCACGCCCTCATCCCTTCAAGTATTTTGTATTCACCAACTTGAAAACTGTTTTGGTTTGCCTTATGAGTAGAGCATCCATTCACATTTAGAAACTTTTAACATTTCTTTCATTCATTTGGCTGGTGTCTGTCCTGATGTGGCGGGCGCTGTGGATAAGGACTGGACTGCTAACTGCAAGGTCGGTTTGAACCTCAAGGTCTGCAACAACATACACTACGAGGAGTCCTGGTGTGATGCAAGGTCAGCAGTTCAAACCCACCAGCTGCTCCCCAGAAACCCTAAACAGGGTCACTATGAGTCAGAACTGAATCAATGGCACTTAACAACAACAATAATAATATATTAAGAGGAGTGCTGGAGGCAATGTAGGTAAGCACTGGACTGCTAACCAAGACTGGAAGTTCAAACCTACCAGCCGCTCCTCGGAAACCATATATAGGGCCACTCTAAGCAAAAACCAATTCAACGGCACTTAAGAATAACAAAGAAATATATGAAGAGGAGTGCTGGTAGCATTGTGGGATAAGCACTGGACTGCTACGTGCAAGGTCTGTGGTTCAAACCCACCAGTAACTTCTCAGAAACCCTGTACAGGGTCATTATGAGTCAGTACCAACTCGACAGCACTTAACAACTAAAACCAAGTAATTAAAAAATCCCGCTCCCATTTTTCTTCCACAGTTGTAATATAAACTTGGCTTTGTTGTTGTTGTTAAATGCTGTCGAGTCGATTCCGACTCATAGTGACCCTGGGTTTCCGAGGAGCAGCTGGTGGTTTTGAACTGCCGACCTTGTGGTCCATCACCAGGGTTGAACCCAAAGCGCCACACGAGGACTCCTTGATCTTGGTTACTGCTGGGTATTTTATTTCTCCTAATGAACCAGAACCAACATCTTTATTATTATATCAATGTGGCGTTGTTACAATTCCTAGCCAAGAAGTCTTCCATGGCGCTTATCATTTTCTATGAAGTCACTGCTTTCACCAAGCTGAATTACCTCATGGCTACGAATACAACTGAGTTCTCTAGGTTTTCCAAGTGTATAAAGGTCGTTGTAAAAATACTTTGTATCTTATTTCATTCTTGTCCAGTTCCTCCAGAACAACATTATAGGGTTCAAGTAGATGGCCTTCCTACTTTTGGAAATGCCAACACAAGTATGGCTTCTGGACTGAGTGCCATGTGTCTTACAATGTTCTACCAAGTACCAAGCACAAAAGGGACAGCCCTCAGCAGCATTCACAATCGGCAGGGAGGCTGTCCAAAGAAGCAGACATGGGAGGGGAAGTTTGGTCTTAGAAAAATGAGTACAAAAGTCCCAAAGAACTGCAAGAGCACAGAGAACGAAGCAGAGGTACTGCTAATAACCTGGATGTGGCTGGAATGACGGACAGGCAGTGGTGGGCACCAGCCAGACACAGATCTAACAAGTTCCGCTCTCCAAGTCTAAGACTGCAGCCCTCGGAGTGCAATTCCCTGTGCAGGGAAAATGTGATCTCCCAACAAAACTCACTGTGGTTTCTGCTTAATGTCCCAATGGGAACAGCAGAGTTTAATGGAAAGGGTGCTGGAGACCTGAGGAGAAGACCTGGATTTCAGTCCAAGTTTACAAATGACCATTTCTGAGTCTCAACACCCATCTGTAAAAGGGAAACGACCTAAGCTACTACCTGCCCTACTTTGGTGGATGGTGAAATGAATACGTGAGTGAAAAACCTCAATTCTACTTACTTAGGTGGATTAACACAGGGGACGGCTTTTATAGGTCAGTAAACGACACTTAGAGAAGTTAAATAATAGCTAATAACTGGGAGAGTTAGAACTCTGTCTGAGACAGTCTGACTCCAGAGTTTCAGCTACGGGAACGCCTGTTTTTACAATGCCTCTCACAAGTGGCATGGTTAACATGAGCTATGTTGTTGTTAAGTGCCGTGGAGTCGATTTCAACTCATACTGACCATGAACACTGTTCCAACTGACTGATGGGTCTGAACTGCTGACCTTTAAGTTAGCAGTCCAGGGCTTACTCTACGGTGCCACACAAAAAATTTCAGGACTGCTATGGGTGAAACAAACTGCGGATAAGCCTACAAATTCATTCTCTTGGCACTGGTGATTAAAGCAGAACAGAGTCATCGCCTCAGCCAAGAGGCTTCCTCATCCACTAGTGTGCTGTCTGTCCTATGGTGACTCCTGCCTTCCTTGCCTCACAGAATTTGTATAAGGCTGGAATTAAGAGTCCTGGGATGGTGCTGTGGGTTAATGCGCCAGACTGCAAAGCTGTCTGAACTGCAAGGTTGGTGGTTCAAGCTCACCAGCTGCTCTTGGAAAGCCTATACACACGGTCACTATGGGTTGGACCCGACTCAACAGCACTTAACAACAACAACATTAGAGAGGTGCCTTGTAAAAATTCAAATGCTTTGTGTGGATGTATGACTATTCCCACACTCTTTTTGGTGATGCATAATTAACTGATTTTTACTAATTCCCACTGTAAATCAGCCCATACTTCTAATACATTACTCAAGGCCTGATTTGGGAGAAGAAACCTCAAGCTTTTTTGACTACAATTTCACCAGCTGAAGACATGACCCTATTTTTAGCCACCGTGAGCACCTGCTCTTTGGAAATCAGTGTCTGTCAAAACACCTCACCTCTTCTCCCATCATTACGCTTACCCTTGAGTTAGATGTTTGCTGCCACTGATCTAACAGACTATTCTTGTGTCACTTGAAGATTATAATTTGAAAATATCAAGAGCCGCCTCCTCTCTTGCGAAGGACTGAGGTCATGTTTCTGAATCCCCACTGAAGGCACCCAGCTGACATGTAAACAGATAAAGCCACTGCCCTCAGCGGGTTCTGATTCACAGTGCCCAACAGGACAGGGCAGAGCTGCTCCACAGGGATCCCTAGGCCGTACATCTTTATGGGAGCACACAGTCTCATCTCTCTCCTGCAGAGTGGCTGGGGGACTTGAACTGCTGACCTTGTGGTCAACAGCCCAATACTGCACTACCAGAGCTCCTTATGTAAATGGTTATTGTTGTTAGAAGCTGTCAAGTGGGTTCTGACCTATAATGACCTAGTATAGGGTTTCCAAGGCTCCCAGTTTTTATGGGTGCAGAAACATCTGATCTTTCTCCCACGGAGCAACTGGTAGACTCCTAGTATGGTGCTATAGGAGATGTACTAACCACAAGGTTAGTGGTTCAAGCCCACCAGCTGCTCCTGGGAAACCCTGCACAAGGTCGCTATGAGTTGGAACTGACTCGATGGCACTTAACAACAACAATCTTGTGGTCAGCAGTCCAGTGCTTATCCTATGGTTAGGATAAGAAAATCAGCCTTATTTCCAGCATGTTTTTAACCCTGGAAAGCTAACTGGATGCCTTAAAAGACAGCTAGGTATGTTCGGGGCAAGGAGCCTGGGCCTTGTCCAAGAGAACCTCAATGTAAACCGTAATCTTCCTGGTTTTGTTCTTGAGGAAAACTGGGCTCATTTCAATGGCAGCATAGAGCCTCCCTATTCTTGAGTCCCTAATGCAAAAGCCTCCA